AAAACTTAATTTTTATTATTTAACAATCCTAATTTCTATGTGCTGTTGGGCTCGAACTGTTTTGTCCTTTATTTAGATGGCAACCCAATAGTTAACCCCTAGATCATTTAATAAATATTTGTAAACCTATCTATTTTTGATAGATTCTTATATAATATTTTTATCAGATCACATATTATTTAATTATACGCATCAAAGCCTGCGAAGAGCTACTTTTACTTGAAAACATATCTTAAAGTTAACTTTAATATGAATTTTTATTTATTTTATTATGAACTTTATATGAATTCATATTTTTAATTAGAAATGGATATCGCTACTGCTTGATATCAGGTTGTCCGTAATAAGGATCGATTTCAATACGAACAAAAATTTGATTTTTTTTTCTGTCAAAGTTTGAAAGTTATTTCTTTAATTTGTTCTTTGTGTGATGAATATCTGTTTGCATACATATATTAAAAATATGAATTCATATAAAGTTCATAATAAAATAAATAAAAAATCATATTAAAGTTAACTTTAAGATATGTTTTCAAGTAAGTAAGTAAGTACAATATATTGTACGTTCTTAACAGTTTGATATTCGCTGGCTAATTTAAACCATAACAAACAGGTCAATCCAACATTTATTGTTACTAGATTTAAGCTATAATACAAAATAATTCGACAAACAATATTTTGACTATAAGCAAACAATGTTATTACATATCCAATTAAAAATATCCACACATACAAAATTGTGACTTGTTATCTTTATCAGTGTTTGTTTTTGTCAATTAAATTTTTAATTAATATTTCAGATAATTGATAATAATTAATATGATTTTTTCTAAAAACTCTTTATTGCAAAAATCTTAAAATAATTGTATTTGAATCGATAGGAACAAACATGTCCCGAAGATTTTATCGATCCGAATCAAATGCGGATTTATTGAGTTATTTGGATAGAGGACAGAGCGCTTGTAAGGAAAATAGATGGACGTTCGAAGTTGCTTGGGAAGCGGCTAATAAAGGTTTTAACTATATTTTAATTGAAGTTTATATAAAATAATTAGTGAATGATATGCTATAATATATTATCTATTTGCAGTCGGAGGTATTCATACTGTTATACGTTCCAAAGCATATGTATCCTGCGAAGAAATGGGTGACCAGTATTGTTTACTAGGTACCATAGATTATAAATATTATTCAAATTTACTAGAAACAATTTAGAAAATACTATCTCACTTATTCGAATCTAATAGATATTAATTTGATATTAAAATTGTTAGGTCCATACAAAGAACAATGTGCCAGAACTGAAGTAGAAGAAGCAGATTTTTCAAAAAATTCTTATCTTCACACTGCTGTTGAAGCTATGCGATCTAAAGGATTTAAAGTATTTTATTTTGTCATATTTTTTTAAAACTTAAAGTAATCAATCTTATATCCTTATCTATTATAATAAGGTTCATTCCGGAACTTGGCTAGTGGATGGCAATCCACAGATAGTACTGTTTGATATTGCTTCAGCAGCTTGGAAATTAGATGATTTTAAAAATGAATTATGGATTAAATCGAATGTTGGGATACCTCATCTGGATACTGAAGCTAATGATTGTGTTATTTTGGGTTATCTCGTTGCAGATTTTATACAAGAGGTAACATATTTTTAAACAATTTTCATTATATTATTTTTATTATATGCATTATTAAAATTTCAGTTCAGACAAGCATGTCTTAATAAGAATGGTGATAATAAACCCAAAATAGTGGCGCACTTTCACGAATGGCAAGCTGGTGTCGGCTTGATAGCTTTGAGGTAAATTTTATAATTTTTAATTTTTGTTTCCAAATTTAATTGCTGATACATTCCTAGAACTCGCCATGTTGAAATAGCGACAGTATTCACGACGCATGCTACATTGTTAGGAAGATATTTGTGTGCAGGAAAACTAGATTTTTATAACAATCTAGACAAGGTATAAAAAATTGTTTGAACTTATAGCGCATTAGAGAACAAATAATAAAATTATTGTACATTAGTTCTGCGTTGACGAAGAAGCAGGAAAGAGGCAGATTTATCATCGTTATTGTATGGAAAGAGCTGCTAGTCATTTGAGCCATATATTTACGACTGTTTCAGATATTACAGGTACATATTTATATTTCATATATTATAACTATTTTTTATTTATTTAGAATTAGTGTGGTTTGTATACAATTTAAATACTTTATCAGTTTATTTACTAAACACATGCATGTTATATTCGTTAAATACATCTTTGACATTAAACATGATTGATTGCACAAACATTTGTAAATATTAGATTTTTTTTATTCTGCACTTTTATTTTAGCTTATGAAGCCGAAAACCTGCTCAAACGCAAAGTAGATGTAATAACTCCAAACGGTTTAAATGTTAAAAAATTTTCTGCACTGCACGAATTTCAAAATTTGCATGCTATCGCAAAAGAAAAAATACATCAGTTTGTCAGGGGGCATTTCTACGGGTGAGATGATAATAAAATAATTTTAATCGCAATAAAAATAATAATGAAATGACGTCATAATTGTTAGGCATTATAATTTTGATTTGGATAAAACTTTATACTTTTTCACTGCTGGCCGATACGAATTCACAAATAAAGGTGGGGATATTTATATAGAATCATTAGCAAGACTGAATCACTACCTTAAGGTAACTTTATAATTTTTTATTATAGCTATTATTTTTCTAGTTTTATATTAACACTAATGAATATAAGTTATTAGTGTTAATACAAAAAATTATAGTAATTAAGAATCAACTATTTATTATCAATTTTTAATTAGTCAACCAATTCTGATGTGACTGTGGTGGCATTTATAATATTTCCGGCAAAAACAAATAATTTTAACGTCGAATCTTTGCGTGGTCATGCGGTTACTAAAAGTTTAAGAGACACATTGTCGGAAATCCAACAACAGATGGGCAAAAGGATGTACGAAACTTGTTTAAGGTAATATTCAATATACATGATTTGTTTTCGCCAATCCGTTGTAATTATTGACTTAATTTTTTAAATTAGCTGTACTAATATAAATAATATTTTTTTAGAGGAAAACTTCCAGAAGCTGATGATATGTTGACCAAGGATGATATTGTTAAGTTGAAGCGTTGTTTGTATGCCTTGCAAAGAGATGGGTTACCTCCAATAACAACACATAACGTGGTGATAAAATAAATTGTTTAAAATATTTTCACATTGAAAATGTTTAATAAATCTAGTCTTATTTCGGTAGGTTGAAGATTGGGATGATCCCGTTCTTGCAACTATAAGAAGATGCCAATTATTCAATACTGTCCATGACAGAGTGAAGGTTAATTATAAATGCAACTATATTCTTCCAGGCAGTGTTAGCTAATATTACGTATATTTTTGCAGATCGTATTTCATCCAGAATTTCTATCAAGTACAAATCCCTTGTTCGGATTGGATTATGAAGAATTTGTCCGAGGTTGCCATTTAGGTGTTTTTCCTTCATACTACGAACCTTGGGGGTACACTCCGGCAGAATGTACCGTCATGGGTATTCCCAGTGTTACTACAAATTTATCAGGTTAATCAATATAATATGTTTATTAATTATTGATAATTTATTTATACTAACGTTTTAAAAATAATTTTAGGTTTTGGATGTTTTATGCAACAACAGATAATGGATCCTCAATCTTACGGAATTTACATAGTCGATCGTAGATATATTTCTTTGGAAAGTTCTGTACAACAATTAGCACAGTATATGTATGATTTTACAAAACTTAATAGACGTCAGAGGATAATACAGCGGAATAGGACTGAAAGGCTGAGCGATATGTTAGACTGGAGAAATTTAGGAATAGTTAGTAGACATCTGAACTATATATTTAATTTTTTTTTTTTCTTAATATTAAACGATTTTTTCTTTCAGTATTATAGACAGGCTAGAATCCGTGCTTTACAGAAAGTGTATACAGATTATGTAGATGAATCGGAAATTCAAGTGACTAGATCTTTTAAATATCCGAGGCCAATATCAGAACCACCAAGTCCTAGTTCGTCAAGTGTGTATAGATATACTATTATCATATTATAAATTATAGTTTAGTTTGTTCTTCATTAATCTCAATTGACACACATCCTTTCTATCTGATTATTTATAGGTATGTAGATAATTTTAGTTATTTATTCATGTTCATTTCTTTAATATGTTATATGTACTTTGTTCCAAAACGCTTCGGATTTCAACATTTGTTTGTTTCTTCAGATTTTGTAGGTATCTTCATAGTTTTTTCTTCATCGTTATAAATCATGGATTCTAGAAGTATTGTTCATTTTTTTCATAAATGTGTTTTTCTTTTATAGGGCCGACAACACCTGCCGCCTCCGTTGTTGGAAGCGAAGATGATGAAGTCGATGAAGAACTCGAGTTGAACGAATTAAGACTTGAAAATTAATAAAAATATTTATTTCAGCTTAGGTCTTACCGTCCATACAAAGTAGTATTATGTTGCATTTACTATGCATTCTGCTTTGAACATTATTATATCTGTAAGATGATCTTATTTACTGGTGCAAAGATACTCTATGATAATTTTAAACTTTTTACATTACTAAAAATATTTGATTATTAAATCGATTAAATTATCGTTTTGAGGCTATAGAAAATTAATATAACGAAGAAGGGATGAACAGTTCAGGCGAAATTATTTTATATTCTAGGCGTTTAGATGCAACTAAAATTATTGTCAGGGCAGTTAGATGAATGGAAAGATGTGGAATAACTTTAAAAATAAATTATAAAATTAAGCATTTAAACAAATTATTAATTCATATTCAGATATATATTTTTTTAAACCGATCATATTAATAATAATTACGATTACTAATTATCAAAATAACGATATTTAATTGGAAATAATAAAGATACTATAATGGTGAATCTGTTAATTATCGTCAATAAATTATTTATTATTATTTTTATATCAAAAGTAATATAATATAATAATTAAAATAATTCATCACTGTTAACTCGTAAAACTCCTTGTTATTAGTTTAAAACAATAGTTATTTTTTTATAAATATATATTATAAAATGATACATTATTGTTTTTACTAGTCGTTAAAATTTACAGCTGAATTCCATGCATAGAGTTTCAAAACATAACCTGATATCTGTTTAGATCCTTATTTTTGTATGTGTATAATCAGTTAAAGTTCTAATATTAGATCAATTTTCTAATTTATTAGTATTTTTGATAGCATAGTGTAAGAAATTCAAGTTCCAAAATATTTATATAATAACTATATGATACATTATCTATGTTTGGCACAGCACATTTTTAAATTAACGGATAATTAATTCGTTCTATATTTTTGTAACAGGATTTTTTCATGAAACGAACTGAAGATAATATTATAAAATTATCTGCATGTAGCAAAAAATATGCAGCTAAATAGTCTCATTTTTAACTGTTATTGCCGCAAGTAATCATCAATTTTTTTTGACTAAGCCAAGGATATAATTATACTAGCTGGATCCAAATGGTATGTTAAATATTTTTCAGTTCAAAATTTTACAACACTTTATAATATATAGCATCTTTCAACCATTTTCCATACGAAATAAAGAAGACCTAAGTAGAATGAGTATCGAACGATGCGATCTATTATTTTCATTCTGCAATAAAAATAGTATTTATTGATAATTGATCGATTTTGTTAAAAGATTGTACTTACCTTCTATATTGTTTTTCGGCTTTCCACATATCCTCAAGCTTTTCTTTCATTAAATATATTTTTCCACCTCTCACAGCTCGCTCAAAGTAATCTTCTTTATCCACATGTTCAAAATTAAAATCAAACGCAAGCCTTTGAAAATAATTTAAAAAATATTTCAAATTGAATTATTAATAAAAAGATATTATACACTTTTCTTTTTTATGATGTATGTACCTATCTTTATCAGGAATGATATCAATCAGAGAAATAAACTGGTCATTTTTGAAAATCCATGTTTGGGTCAAGAAATAATGCAATGCTTTATTAGCAATATAAACTTTTCTTTGAATTCTACTCAATCTGAAAAATAAGTTATTTTAATTTTGGGTCTTAAACTTGAGTTTAGTTACAGAATTTACATTGGCTTGTGTCCCAAACATTTCAATAAAGTGTCAATAACCAAAGCTGGCAGCAAATGGAGAAATAATACCTGAAAGAAATTAAATTTACATTTTGATTTTGCTTAATAGGATGTCATCAGATAAACGAATTTAATGCAATATAAGCTTTAAATTTACCTTTGTATAATGTTCTATGTAGATATTTGTTAATTTACCACCAACAGTCCATATAGGATCGTCTACGAAATACTTTTCCGAAAATTTTAATCCCATATTAATTATTTCACCTATAGTAGCTTTTTTCAAATTACTTGAACTGCAGTTGTATATCGGAACTTTTTCGGTAGTAATCTTTGAAAACAAAATTGGATTAACGGTTAGTATTGGGTTGTATGATTTAATTTTATTTAATATTGATATATTTTAGTAATAAAATAGTTCTCAAGATTACACAAAGTTGACTTAATCCTATACATTTGTGAAAATAGTATAGTGCATCAGCCTTTAAAGTTTGATCAATAAGCGAAACAGATGGAACCGGATTCCGTGAGTAGCCAAAAAAATTTAAAATATCAAATAAATGTTGCATGAAATTATTGCATGTTGTTTGCTGTGTTATTGAATTAGCTAAAAATTATCCAAAATATGTTCAACAAAATATATATATATATATATATATATAATTATATCTATGTATATCATCAGTTATTTATAAACAAGTACCTTTAGTTTTTATTGAGGTATTTAAAACGTGTTTGAAATAGAAAAAATACATTTTTACAATTGCTTTTAATTCAGTTTAATTAGTGATATTAACATCTCGGGTACAGGACGGGCCTATCTGGGCAAATACCAATTTAAAACAAATATCAACAAAATTAAAACAACGTATAATTTACTATTAAATTATAATGATCATTTTCTAAACACTTATCTACGCCTTTCATATTTCAAGAAAGTTATTTGTATTTAATAATATTATTAATTTCAATAATAAAATATATATTTTTCGGCTTTTACTCACTTTTCGAGTCCCCTTTTCCAAGCAGCGACTATCATTGCTTTTATAGCAATATCAACAGGCATAAAATCATTTACAATATTTTCATCGACGTAAATAGATCTTAAAACACCTTAAGAATAATATAATTTTTACTAATAATCAAAACAATAATTACTAATAATATGAACAATATAAATATATATTTATATTACCTTTTGCTGCTCCTATAACCATTCCCATAGGTCCATTAAAATTATCTACCCATCCCGGAACAGGTTCTTCATAGCTGGATATCACTAAAGTTATAAATAAGTTAATCGTTATTCAAAAACGTTATATTTTTACATTAACAATTTTGTAGATTACCTATTGTGGGTCTAAATATTACTACTGGCAATTCTTTTGAATAGTCTTGAACAACGTGCTCCGATAGGTTTTTGGTAAAAACATAAGTATTATGTAATTCTCCTATATATCTGTGTAATAAATTTAAATTAGAACGATATTTTCTCACATCAAATTTTATTTTTCAAGTTAAATTCGTGCAAATTACTTTTCTGTGAGAATCCTAAGGGTATGGTCATCAGCAGTTTCAGCGATTTTAATTGCTTCTCTCCAATTTACATGCTCGGGATAAAGTTTTTCTTCTATAAGTTTATGATCACTATTACAATAACCAGTTGATACATGCATCAGAACCTGATAATAAATATTCCAAATATTATATCACAACTGATACAACTCGTTGATTGGTAAATTACTATTTATAAATGTATAGCATAAATTCTGATTAAATTAATGTAATTTTTTTTGTATTATCGTAAATACTAATATGAAATTTGTTCATTTTTTGATAACAAGAGTCATTTGGTAATTTTGTATACTAACTTTCAGATCAGGCATTGTTTTTGCAAGTTCCATAACTTCCCTCGTTCCTCTAGTATTCATAAAAATTGCTTCTTGCAACGGTTCGTCAAATCTAATAATTAGTATTGGGTATTTAATATTTTAATCAGAATTGTATTCAAATGATATTACCTCACATTAGCTGCACTGTGAAAAACAATTGAAACTTTACTCAATAGTTTTTTATCTTCATCACTTATTCCAAGACCCAAAGACATCATATCGCCATTTACAGGTACTATTTTGTCCAGTGCTTCTGGGTTTTCATTTTTTAATTTTTCGAATAACTTCAAATAATATTTTGATGAAAAATTGCCGAATTAACATGGGTCTACTGTATTAAACTTACCGGTATGTCTGCCATGTTCTTTACCCGTTCTTTTGGTTCAACAGATTTTTTGGTTCTCATCAGTAAATAAATTCTTTTTATTTCTGGACAAGATCTTAAAAGTTTTTCTATAAGTACTTTGCCCATAAATCCTTAAATATAATATACACAACATGAATACCTAGACTTATAGTACTAGACATAGATAAAGGATGCAAGAATATATCATTTATTATTGTAAACATTTTCATTTTTGTCTATTTTTCACTTGTCTATTCGAGTTCAGTCATCAATGAAAATTGACTATATATAAAATTGACGATGAAAAATTATGAATTTTAACTAAAGAAAATTTAAGAAAACATTTCTCACGCTTATTTATTTGTGGAGTAGAACTTTGATGATAAATACAATTATCAGTAAATTTTACAAATTTACACTATTATATTATTAAAACATTAACATATTATAATTTGTTATTATATTCTTACCTGTTCCTCCGGTAATAAATATCTCTCTTCCTGCATAAAACTCGGGTATTCTAATATCCTCCATGTTGAGATTTTTTATAATTTGTTCTATATACTTTAAAATTTTGATAAAATAAAATCAAATAATTATTACAGTATATTTTACTACAGTGATGATCGCAAAAATACCGGATCACTACAACCCATTCACTTTCGTTTACTGGTCGCAGACTGTTCAATATTTATTTTGACAAATAAAATCTCATCCGAAATAGTTTTTTTTTGAAGACGTATTTAACTGTATTCGTCATTCCCATTGTATGATAATAAGTGGTTACAGTTGATTGTGTAAGTGTGACCAATTTTTGTACATGAGCAGAAGCATATTAGTGTTAAATTTACAAATTTAGGCGTAATTAAAAATCACTGGTAAAAATATCATTATTTCTATAATAAATGGATCACTACAAAAGAAGTCCAAATGGAAATGTAAAGACTTGTTCAATTGGCCGTCTGTTTGCTTTCGGACCTCAATAATTTATTTGTCTGCCAGACCTGTTTATTGCTTAGCTAATAGATATAATGCTTTGAAACCACTGCAGTATATAAGTTAGTGGCATTAAATTCAAAAATATAATTTTGAATTGCTTTAAAAACGAGATAAGAAGCCTTTTATTTAACAGGAATACCTAATTAAACTACCTAAATTACCTAAAAAGTTGATAAGAGAAGGAAGATTAAAAAAGTGGAAAGTTATTTAAAAAGTTGCTTTATTTGCATTGATTATGTCGATTATTTACAAATCGAGGAGTTTTTGCAATTTGCCTCAAGGCAAAATGGTTCTTACACCTAATTTAGATTTTTATTTACAATTTTGGTATACATATTGTTAGAATCAAAACAAGATTTCGATTCTGTTTGCGATCTAGTAATTCATACTGACCTTAGCATCCGGTGCATAATGAAATAGTGAATAAATTAATTATCAAAGTAGAGTAACTAACTGAATTTACAATATATAGGTTCTTAAAGGGAGTAAACGATTGTAAACTGTTATTTTTGTTATTTTTACAGCCATCTATTTTTCAGGGTTATATATGGTTTTTATTCTCCACTCATATCGTTACTAAATTTATTTCCATATAATTTATTTAAACAAGATTTCTTATCTATAATAACATTTCTTGTGAAAATTTTCAGTAAATGAACTTTGCATATCATTGGATTTTTGCATTTTAAATTTTAATTATTTAGAAACAACTACGTCTTCGTATCATTATCCTGGCTGTTCTGTTTTTTAAATAGTTCTTTCAGAAAACATTAATGCGTATTTAGTGGACAATGTCCAAGTAAATTGCTTCTCTTATATTTACATATTATATAAAATTTGACTATCATGGTTACAAATGACGTAAAGATTGATTAATTTTACTATTTTATATATTTATCACATATAATTATATGTGAATATACTAACACTAAAAGTTGCTCCATTATTCTTCTGGATTTACCAGTACGTTAAATAATAGTAAAAAATCCTGTTCTCAATCATATATATCATACAAATATGGCAAAAATATTTATCAAAAAATGTTTGAAAAAAAAGAAAATTTTCGTATTATTTACTTCATTGGCTTATATTTCGAAAGAATGTTGAGAAGTCAAATATTGTAATATATTCGAGATAATAGCATATACCAAGGTAATATATATTACAAATTTTTCAATTCAAACTTTACGTGCATTTGTCATTTCTATTCGATGACTTTCCAGTAGTCATTTGTTCAAAAGTCATTTTATATATTACATCTACATTTTTTCAAAAACAATCTACTTTTTATTTAAATTTTCTTTAATTAATATTATAATAAATTATAATGGCTGACGAAGAAATCGGTGAGAATTTATTTTTTCTCTTTCGTAATAACCTTATTTTAAAATTTTAACGAACGAATTGTTCTATTAGTACTTCGTGTTTTCAAATATACGTATTTTTATTCTTACCAACAAGATTTTCATATAACTTCTAATGGACATAATTATACGCTCTATAATAAACCTCAACATGTTTCGAAATTATCGTATTTACTGATATTAGATTACTAACATAAATTGATTAGACATCTGTTATTATTAAAATTTGAAGGAAAATCATAAAATTTAAACATAAGGACATATTAGATTGAATAGAAAGTGCACAGAAAAGTGCATTTTCTTATGGAACTAAATAAAATCCATGTCAATTTATTAGTAGAGCATCCCCCAGAACCAGAAGATGAAGATATCGAGCATGAATATGATGAAGAAGGCGGCTGGTCTGGAGAAGAAGGCGATGATGAACGCGAAGATGAGGCGGAAGATGTTGCAAATGAACCTGATGTTGATGTCGACTTGGATGAACCAGTAAATGCAGGCGGAGATGGAAAAAGAAGAAAAAAGGCGCGTTAAATATAAAATTATTTGAATACGATGATAAACCCAAAAATTTCGGGTTCTTTCTCATGAAATAAATCATCAATTTGAACTAATTTCAATTTATCAAATTTCCAGTTTGTCCCGGTCTTTATTAACGAATTTTTTAATTTATCATTTTACACACACCCGGAACTCCAATTTTTTCAAAAATTAGGTCGTGAAATTTCCTTTTCTTGATTTACTTATATTTCAAAGTATTAATTGAAGTAATTAATATATTGATACTGTGAACTGGATTTTCTTTACTAATGATCATGGTTTATAATTATTTTCAATATAAATATTTTTGATTTACCTAAACTGACCTGCACTTTATGCATTTGATGTATGCCTATATTTATTTACTTTTATTGATAAAATGTAGTTTCAATTACAGGTAAAAAGAAAGGCAAGGGAAAAGGCGTAAGTTTATAAATAAAAAAATGCTAGTAAATTTATTACTAATTCTGAAATATTTTTTAGAAATCTAAGGAAAAAGAAATAGTTGAAGAAAAAACAGATGAAAGCGAAGAAAAAGAAACTAGAAAGAGAAGCAGTGCTGATGTAAGTTTTTTAATCCATAGTGTGCTATAAATATTTTAAATACACGTGACTAAATTTTAATCCTTCCTTTTTTAAGGATTTTATGAAGGAATATGAAGAACCAGCTGAAGGAAAACCAGCCGAGAAAACTGAAGAGACAGTCGAAGAGAGTGAAAAAGGTTTGAAATGATATATTTTTTCAAATTTATAAATTTTTGTGATCATCATTTAGAGTAAAAATTCATCAAAATAGTTGAAGAGGAAGAAAAGCCAAAATCAAAAGGCGCGAAAAAGAAGGACAAAAAGAAGAAAGAGAAATTTAAAATGCGTAAGTTTTAATAATTGATATTTTTATGTTGTATTGGCTAGTTAATGATGTATTTATATAATTTCCATTAAAAAAAAATTCGGAGTTAATTAATAGAACACTTTACCAATTAGCACTTAAACATATCTAAAATTTGTGTTTAAATAAAATCTATGCAGTTTTTGTAAATTCTGGCATAGTGATCAAAATTCTGGTTAATTGTTATATGGATGTTGCAACTTACGTAAATGTGATTAATGACTATTTTTAGTAATGCATATTGTGATTGTACTGTTTAGATAAATGAGTTTTCTGTCACACTTGGATGACCCGGATGGTTCATTTTAAGAAAACTGAATTAGTAATAATTTAATCCACTAATTTCTTTCTTTTTTTTAAAAAAAAATATGATATTATTATGTATTATTGTTATTTTATGCAGCGCCGCCTCCGAAACAGGTTCGTAGCCAGGTTGCTGTTGTAATGACCCAGGAAGAATTAGAGAAAGAAAAAACTCGTCGACTTAGTTTGCAACAAAGTTCCTGGACGTCCAGAGCGTCAGTATCCCGAGCTTCCACAACTGGTCGCCCAAGCTTCAAATCCAGGAAGAGGCAGTCCAAGTAAAGGAATGATTATGAAAATATTTACATGATGTATATATTTATGTAAATAAAAAAATTGTACCATCTGCTTTGCTTTATATACTAACTAAAATAAATATTGTTTGAAAAATATATTATTACAAGAGTTACAATTAGATAACATATGTAAAAAGAAATCTATAATATGTAATTGTTAATAATTTTAGTTTTTTGTGATTTAGTATTTTGCCAGACACAATTGTTGCATACATAAGATTTTTTACTTACATTTTATAAAAAAATATTTTTTGCAAAATTTGGGGTTAATTTAATTATATTTGCTTGAAAAAATAATATATTTATATAATTCAAAATTCAAATACCAATTTAATTCTTTCAGAATTGTTGATGATGATGAGTGGGAGTGGGTATGGGAAGAAGAAAAAGTTGAAGAGCCTAAAGAAGCAGGTAAAGCTTTTTTTAAGATCTCAATATTGTTTAAAAATGAGAATAACTATTTTTTTAATTTACTATAACTTACGATAAATTTTATCTTATATATATTTTTTATTAGACTTTATTATATATTTATTAGAGTAGTATTTGGTGACTAAATATATTTTTTCCTGAGTTGATTATATGATCTTTTTAATTTTTCTTAAGTTCTTGAGGTCGTAGAGCCCAAAAAACCTAAAAAAGAAAAGAAAGGTAAGAAAAAAAAAGAGCAGAAGGTTGAAGAGGAGGAAAAAGAAGAACCAGGCGAATTAGCGGCTCTTGCTGCACTTTTGGGTGGTGTGAAAGAGGAAACTCCTGCTGATGAAGAAGGTGAAAAGGGAAAAGCTAAGAAAAAAGTATAGTAGATGTTTAATTATACATATTAATTATAAATAAAAAAAATACTATTTTTGTAATTGTAAATTTTTCACATTCAAAATTAATTACTAACATAATTCCAGGGCAAAAAAGGGAAAAAAGACAAGAAGGCTGTAGCGCCAAAAAGTTCAAGGGCGATGTTAATACAAATCCTCAGGCAAAGGCAAGGTAAAAATCGCAATCAGTTGCTTTTATTTGGTGTTTGTTAATAATTCTCTCATTCTAGCCGAACAAGCGGCTTTGGAATTAGCTGCGAGTGGTGGCAAGAAACCTAAAGCCAAAAAAGTAAAATATAAATTAGACACCCACACACATACACACTCACACATACACACACACACACACATATATATATATATATATATATATATATATATATATTAATTTCATCTCTATATTATATAATTTATATAAAGTTATATTTATAGATTTTGAATATTATTTTTATTATTTACTGTTTGTTGAACATATTTTCTAATAATTTTAATGAATATTTTTATCACAGTAATATAAACTATTTTGCAATTAATTATGCATGTTGTATTCAGTGCATGGAATAGTAAAATAATTATTTATGTTAATTAATAATTCTGCACATTGGTCATTATTTTTTCACTAAATAGTAGAGTATATAATACATATATTATACACAAAATTGCAAAAAATAGAATCTTAGAGTAAATGATGTGAATTGAAAATTTATTTTTATATTTCACACTTAGATCATCACGTTTAATATGATTTTCACAACAAGCTATAAAAGCTAGTAACAGTATGATTAAAAATATTTATTTTCTCTTAGTTAACTAAAGAAGAAAAGGCTAAAAAGGCGGCAAAAGATGCAATACAGCTTGAGAAGGATCTTAAAGATCTCAGGTATTTTTGGTCAAATAAAAATACATGAAGAAATATTTTAGAAAAATAATTGATTAAAAAAATCATATTTTTTCTTAGGATTCAACTGGCCAAGGAAGAGAAAGAGCGCATTGAACAGGCTAAAGCAGAACTTGCAGCAAAAGTTTTAAAGGATATACATGAGCAGGAACTTAGAACAGGACTTTTAACTGCTTCTTGCCAGAAAATTGATGGTATATTATTAGCAATACAATAGATTAGGGTAGATTATTTTCAAACAACACCAGTTTTTATAAATATATTTAACAGATCTCGAAGTTAAAATGCAAGAAATCCGATTGCAAGACATAAATGTGGTCGAAGTGAGTTTTTTAAAACTTGACATTGGGATACAATTAATATTAAAATATAATGATAAAGATTCGTTTTAGTGGGATACGTATATAAAATGCGACATAAAACCAAATCCTCGTAGCCTGAGTTCTTTAAATACTTATTTACACAAATGGCAATTGAAAAAATCTGATTATGATATTGATTTCATGACAACTAAAGCGAACGAAATGTTATCGGTGAGTGAACAATAGTATCTATTTATAAAACATTTATAATAATTCTTAAACATGAATTAAATAAAATATATACCTACAATATGATAAAAACCTGCACTTAAATTATTTTTTCAGATATTAGAGGAAATTGAAGACATTCTAGTGGCACCAGCTGGAACTTACGATATTTGGTTTTTATCTAATTTAGTTGATATTCGTGATGATTTGAGGAAAGAATTACACGATACCATGGATGAGGTTTCATATAAATTAGTTAGACATATAGAAGACGATCATACTTTGTATGTTCTCACTATAATTTTTTTAATTTAATATTATTTTATTGTAGATTATTTCTTTAATTTCAGGTTTCACCGTTACAAATTAAAGAAAACAAGATATGTCAAATTAAGTGATAAATTCGATCTAACAACTTTAGTTTGGGTTAATGTACCAATACCAAAGAAACGTTTTAAGGGTGAACGGAAAGTATTTAGTTAATTATCGTGCGATTATACAAAAAATAACTGTCTTCTATTAATTACAGGCGAAAAGTTAAAGTGGATTTTCCAGAGATTGGGGTTCTGATATTACTACCTACAAACTATGATTTTTACAATACGGCTATTCGTATTTTGTGGCAAAAGTTAATACTTTATGACAATAATCATAAACTATTTAAATTTAAAATTGATTATTATTTTTAGATACGATCACAAATCAAATTATGCTCAATCATGGAATCCCCCACAAGAGCCCGTTTTCTATCAGAGGAGTTAGTCAATATAATAATATAATATATAATGTAGTTTTAATAATAACTGTGTTTTTTATACAGATATGTTGGAAAGTTCGATAGCTGAGTGGGATGAACTATGTGGAATAAAAGCAAAAGTATTATCGGAGCAATCAGCTGCACATGGAATACATAATCCTGATTTGTATGTAATTAAAGTTCTAATATATTACTGTGGTTGCATGTGATTGTTTTCATTCATAATGAATATTAATTCAATTAATTTAGTATCGTATTTTATTTAAGTAATCAGATTGCTATTTTTTTTAATTTTAGCATTTCGAGACTCATGATTTTATATAGATTTACTCAGTTCTATCAACTATGCAATATTTTTATCTCACGTGATCAATATATATTATATGTTAGGTTTATATATATTTATGTTTTAGGTCAGTAAATGCAAACTTTTTGGACATACCTGAAAAAACACCCAGCGTGCTGTTCGTTGAAAGAGAAGGTACCATTATTTTTGTTGCACTTGTTTGCACTATAGCTTTCTTTAATAATAATTAAATTTGCAATTGCTCTCAAAAAACTTTTCAAATGACAGTCAATATAATAATTTTCTCCTCTAAAAGAATAATTATTCTAGATTAAGATATGTATGCATCAATTGAGTATTCAATCTTTGTTTTAAATAGATGCCGAATACAAAGAAACAATCGCCCTCAATCAGTATACTCTGCAACCTGGAGAAGTAAATTTGCGCAAATATCGTGTCGTTGGAGGTTGTATTTTAATGCATTTATTAACTCAGCCTCCGCAGCTAAAAAATTGCAGAAGATACTTGGAACAAACAATATGTGAGTCACTATTTATATTATTGCCTTAAGTAGATAAATTACATAAAAGTAAAACACATTAGTATTTTATACTTTATTATCAACTAAATAATATAAAAAGAATTATCACATACGGTACAAATTTGAATTTATGAACAATAAACACGTGAACATACATAATTTTCAAAAAAACAGCAAATTGCATTCTTGATTCGAATGTTAAGCCAATGAAATAGTACTCTTATCAAGGTTTCCTTCTTCTAATGCCAAGGCTTTCTTTAAGCGTTTCCAAAATATGCCTTGCTCTTCTGTATTGGTTGGCCACTGTATATAGGTTTTGGTGGCCATTAGGTACCTTAAAGTTTTTGGTCGCTTGCCCCGTGGAATAGTTTCTAACAAAACTAGAATAAGGCGGTCTCTCATAGTTTCCAATAATCTAAAATTTATAAAACAGTATTGATAATTTTAAATTCTGTATCGAATTGGTTTACATAAATAAATATAGTCACCGGTATTGCGCCAAATGCATTTCAAACTGACACCAGCGTCTGCTTAGAAACTGATTGCTCACCACTAAGAGAAGAACTTTAGATCTGTCCATGCAATAAACAATGTTATCCAAAATACTCATTCCCACAACAAAATCTCTTTCGTGTAAGCAAGCTGAAATATCATTTTTTTCTATATTGGGTAAAAGTTCATCAAGAACCCACATTCTGTCTTCATCACAATAACTTATGAATACGTCATATGAATAGTCTAAAAATGTTGATTGACTTGCGCGTTTTCTAAACTGCTCTACTTCTTTATCCATGCAGCTGAGAACTAATGCATTTCGCATCAATCCGAAACAATATTTCAAGTAAAACCACTTGCGGTAAATAATTAGAGAGATGCATAAAAATGCCATTATAGAAATCACTGCTATTAAAAATACTTGCCAGGCCTTTAGTATGTACTCTGTCTCTTCTAATATGCTTGTTGGGCATGGTTCCACCTTATGGAAAGGTACTCGATCACCTGATTTTGATTCTACACATTGATAATCTTCGGGGCTATAGTCAATTACAATAAAGCTGTTATTCAAAAGTGCATTAGTATGATCAAAATGAAAAAAAGTTGACATATTTTTCTCTACTTTATTTGTTTTAAATGAATGACTGCGTAAAGTCAAGTTCAATGAGAAGTTGTTTGAAATTTCAACTGATTTGAAATCAGAATTGATTGTTGAATCAAGTTCGTTTGAGCGGTAGATATATCTTGAATGTTCGTATTCATTATAATTTTGAAAATTTTCAATGTCATAAAGATAAGTTTCAGCTACTATCTGATTTGTCAGGTCATCTAAAAGCATATTATTTATGACATCTTTAATCTCGGATAACTCTGGATTATGATGTGCTGTCATCTTCATAACATCTATAAAGTCTCGTACTCTGCAGTTGCATACAAAATTGTTTCTACCAATTGCCAAGTAACGTAGTTTATGGAAGTCTTGCATCATTTCTTGGCTCATTAAATTGATATTATTTTGGCGCAAATTTATCATTTCTAATTTAGTGTTATTTGCAAAAACTCTGGTGTACCAATTATTAATATGATTTTTACTCAAATCTAGTATTACCAGATTTGGTAATCCGGCAAATGTGTCGTTATGCAAAACACTTATAATATTACATCCCAAATGAAGAATTTTCAATGATTTGAGTTTATTCAAACCAACTAAATATTTGACATTCGATTTTCTGTAAAATAAAACTTCTAAAGTATCCTGTAATCCTGAAAATGCGTCGCAAAGTACAACCGATGATGTGGTCGGATTTCCAGAAAGATCCAGTACTCTTAGTGTTGTGTTATTGAACATATTTGAATTGATTAATGGTAAATCGGTATAGCAGAGTGATAGATGTTTAAGACTTTTCCCAAGTTTAGCAAAAGCTCTAGCACTGATCGGAGATATTTTAGTTTTTGAAAAATCTAAAGTTTCAATGTTGATCAAACCAGAAAAGGCATCATCGCTTATGACAAGTCCATCTACAAATCGTTCATATGGATCTTTTGATAATCCTGGAGATCCTTCGTAATAAACATCATTGTAACTAATATCTAAATGCACTAAACTTGGTGTGTATTTAAATAAATCAGATGATATTTCGGAAAGACGATTGTGGGCAAGATATAATTTTTTTAGTTTAGGCATATCTTCAAATAGACCTTGGGCGATGTAATTTATTGCACAGTTTCGTAGATCAAGTTCTTCCAAATTACTCAAATTAGGGAAGCGGGCCCAGTCAACTATTAAAATTTAAGTAATATTTTATTATTAGTTAATTATATGAATATTTGATCATATATAAACGTTAACTATTTATTTTTAAGAAACATATTTGGAATTGATCTATAGACGATATATGAGTACTGTATAACAATATAATCAAATAATTTATCAGAAGACACTCAATACACTTGAGTATAAAATTTCAACAAGATCCTTATCACATGGCTTACAAAAATCTTTTTGCTCTATTAGTTATAAATAAAATATTTAAACATCAGTTTATTCAGTTAAATTTTCAACTATGAATATATACGTATTACAGTACTTAAGCCTCAGGATTACACTTCACAACTTATAATTATTTTTTTCATTATGGATTTGAACGTATACTATTATAGTTAATACATGATACTATTTTTTGATACTTACATTCTTGAAAGCTTCCATATAAAACTGGAGCAATAAAAAAATTATTGCCGTATAAAGATAAATAGTGAACACTTGTTCTTACTACAAGCAACGCTTCTAACGGAACCTTTTGCAGATTCATCTGAAAAGTTAATAATTATTATTTTAGTTTTATCATAATAAAAAGCACTTATTTGAAGAATAATACCTAGTTTCTAGTATATGATTCAATTATACAATAATACCTTAGCCATGCTAAGAAAGACAATATCATTCTGCGCTTTGTTCATCATTTCATTCATCATTATAACCTCTAGAGAACCATTGACTCGTGTTGATGACAAATCAATATGAAATCCATACGAAGAAATGCCTAATTTGAATGTGATTGATTAATTAACAATATTATATTTTTTATTCTAAAATATATTATTATTTAATACAACTTTTTTATTTAGGAATATGTATTTATATCACCTTGATTTACGAGGGAACCATTTTTATGGAGCCACCACGACAAGTAATTATTTGCATCGCCCAGTACGCAAGGCTCAATAATTTCTATTTCTTCGTGTTTTTTCATCGTAGCCTCTACAAATTCAATCATTCTTGTAGTTGAATTTTGCTTTGATTCATGGATATCATTTGGAATATTGTTACCATACTTTTGCCGATCTACTTTTAATTTCTTCTGATCGTTTGCTATTTCATCTATCTTACTTTTGATTCCTTCAGTTTTGTAACTCATTTTCATCTTCTCTCCATTCGAAATCGGGTTTTCATCGGCTTTTCCTAAAGTTACTATGCTGACTGAACTCTGTATTATTTCGTTAGGATTTTCAAAACCATTTTCCACTGATTTTTTTTCTACTTCTGTTGGATGGGGAAATTTGCCATTTGCTGAACAAATCAGCATACACAACAAAATAGTTGCAAAAATCAAACTTCTTGATAGTTTGATATAAAATACACTCAATATTAAGTTATTGAGTGTCAGGTGAACACTTGAATTATTAATATATTTTGTAGAATCAATTGGAATTGTTTTCGACACATATTTATCGGCAGTTGATGTGTATGCGCAGTCTGTAAAAATAAAAGTTTTTAAAAAATAATAAGATTATTTATATATGTATGTATAAAGTTTTATAAATTATCAATTAGAATATTATATAATATTATGAGAATATGAGCTGATTTTTTGTGGTTCAGATTATTTTTATATCGTTTAAAAAATGCAGATTTTATCTAACCATAAGTGCAGCTTATTTCACAAAAAAGTGCATGTTTGTGTATATTATAAGATAACATTGATAAATAAAATTCAAAATTGTTACGTCGTTTTGAAATGCGTTGTAAGATTGTATGATGAAAGTTTGCTATATTTGAAACAAAAATCAATTGCGATATCTAATTAGTACTTGAAACAGTTGCAGATTGTGCATTTCAAAATGTAATTAATCTTTTATAATCTCTTTATAACGATCTTGATATCGAATTCAATTCAAAGTTAATCGCAATATAATAAAAATGATTTATATATTAAATGCGACCTATGATATTGAGAAAGTAGAAAGGTAAATTGATAATTTTAGGAAAAGAACAGATATATCTTGTTGAAATTCAGAATATACATATTAAATAACTTAAAAATTAAATTAATGTTTTGCAAGCTGTATCCCAAAATAATATCAGTTCTGTTCAAATGCTGCAAATGAAATTTATATATTCATAAAGTCTTGTGCAAAGGAAATTTTTTTCTTTCTCTTGAATTACATAATGTTATATATATATTTATCTGTAATTTGTGCACAAAATTTGTCTTCAAATGAATAGCTTATTTACTATAGAAATTTTGATTTCTTTCTATGAGTTTTAAATAAATGAAACACTAAAAAACAAATAGATAAAATAGTAAGTAATTATAACTTTTAAAAAAGCGGTTAAAATAATCAATATATACTTTTTTCTTGTATAAATAGATACGCTCTCTCTTATAGGTAATAATAAATTTGTTAATTATTTATACTTCAGAGTAGAAATTTATTGAAGAAATATCATGATAGGCAATATTAATATTCCATGATAATTTTTTTACCTTGCAATGAATTCTTCATGAACGAAATGTGTATAAGAAGTTGGTAGCCTTTGTCGTTTCATAAGATTTTAGATATCTAATTAATCAATTTACAAAATTTACTGGCCGATTGTGGTTACTTCTTCTCCTCTATTAATAAAACTATCAACCACCATATCACTTCACTATTAGAATTATAACAAAATTAATTGCACTATTATGTGAAATAGTTGTCGGGACAATGTTATATTTCACAAAAGAAGTAAATTAAAAAAATTAATATTTTGTTAGAAGTTTTCACTTGTTACTTGCCGTTAGTGGTTTTTATTTATTTTTATTATTGCAAATTTTAACAAACAATCTGACACTCTTGGAATGGTTATATGATGACCACACGCGCAGCATATTTTCTATAAGTTAATTTATCATATCAACCTGTTATCAATCAATATGTCCAGATACCTTATCATTTTCGATTTTATTATCTTTTATTTTGATGAATGACTTATCTACTTTTATTAATATTGTGATCTTTGATAGCGCCATTCCATAGGGCTTAGATGAGAGATCGAATAACTTACATTTGTTTGTAACTAATTTTTAGCAAACAATAACAACAAGGATAAAATAACTTCATAAGAGTTTATAAAGTGCATAGATTTTTATTATTTGAAACAAAATAGTCTTTGTTGTAATACATAAAAAAAGTCAAAATTCAAATTTGTAATTTGACTCATTTTGCAGATTTATTATTGTTTAGTATTTCGAAAACATATCAAAGTATAACTGTGTTAATTGTTGGTTAAATTTATTATGTATTCCGTTCCAGAATTAACCTATTTAACATTAATTATATGTGTACATCATTTTAAATATCTTACACAATGCTAGGAAACTAACTAAATGAATCATTTCATGAATAAGTCAATACTTTATTTTCAATGTTTCAAAGTGCAATTATATTGCTCACTCATATGCAAATTTTAAACTACGTGCTTTTCAAATAACGAATTGAAATAAAATTAAAAACACTAAATTTTAAGGGAGACTTGAGAGAACAGAAACGATTTATTAGTGGTTTGAATTTAGAAATTTTTACTTTTTGAAAATATAAACCCTGTGTAGTTGAAAATGAATCTGGTGCATGTCATAAATATTTTAGAGTTCAAATATCTTACCGTGACTTTGGAGTTGTATCATATGGTTAACGTAAGCATATATTTCTACTAATCCTCTGATAATATTTGATAAAATTACTGTGTTTTGTGCTTTTGACCAGATTAATATTGTTCAGTAGCGATTGTTTTTATTGCGTTTTTATCGTTATGTGTGCTGAAAAATATTGAGATTTTTATCTGATTTGTAAATGGATTTGAAATTAAACCCAAATAAATGAGTTTTAAAATATTTACAGATAAAATCTGCATTTTATTAGTACTGAATCCAATGATTAGTATTATTGCCTCTGCAAATTCAAAAACACTGAAAAATAAATATATAAATAAATAACATAATGCTAATAAAGAATGACATCAATAGATAACTTACATATATAATATATTACAAAAGATAACTTTCATATGTTACATATTACTTTATCATATGATATCAGAATTAGGTAAACCTAGTAGGTACGTCTGACGAAGTATGATCAAAAAATCGCTTGAAGATTTAATGTCTAGTTATAAAAAAATTAAAATCAGTGTAAACATTTGTATTTTAAAATCAGATATTACCTGCCATTCAAATTAATCTATACTACATATTACTATTTGATTTATGATTTGGCTATATTTTTTAAATTTTAGTGCCCTTGCCCAAGGAATTAATAGGAGTATACTTCAATGCTCCATACGAAGAACCACCACCTCCGCCTCCTGGAGAGGTGAGATCTCCAGAACAAATCGAATTAGCTATCAAAATAATGGAGAAAAAACTAGAAGCATTACCTCTTGTAACAATCACGTAAGATATTTTATAATAAATTAAAGAACTCTTTTTTTGATATTTCACTTTAATTTTAATTATTTATTATAGTCTTCCGCCTGGTGTATTGTGGTTTGAGCCGCCTTTGGCCTGTCTATGGGAAGACCCTATGAAGTATGCGACCAAAAGGGGAGCACGATTCGATGAGAAGCATAAAACTCGTAGAAGTAGTGTAATGCCTGCGGGTCGTCAGTCACTTTTAGCCGACTGGGTCCCATCAGATAGGGGTCAAAAAAGACGTCCCAGTACTGGAACGCCAGGTACATACTGGAAAATACATCAGAAAATTCACATTAGTAAAAATGATTTTGTATGTGATTATCACTACACTATTATAGTAGAATATAGTAAAGCAATCATTTGAAGAATGAAATATCATTTGAGGAATACCAGATTCAAAACTCGTAAAACTAAGGTGGCCATTGTTTAGGTCAAAACCGGGCTTCAATTTTTAATTATGCCCACCCGAGACCCAGGATATATAACATTTTCAGATATTTGATGGCTAGTTGTAATTTTATTATCAAGTAATGGCAAAGAATCAATTTACTCTTATACTTTTCGTAAACCCGGGCAATCCGGTCCAAATAATCTAAATCCGGGACTAATATAGTTTTTATAAAAACCCGGGACACAAGGTGGAAATCCCGGACTGTTCCGGGCAAACCGGGACGTATGGTCACCTTAGTAAAACCATAATATTATCTTCTTGTGATCAAATTCTGCTATTGAAAGATGAACGGGACTTGCTTCTTGATATTCTTTAAATAAATTATTATTACATTCATCATGGTTTCCATATTATTTCAATCACTTAATAATTACTCTATAGTTTTTTGTTCTTACTTGAAATTATAATTTAAGTACAAATATTTCTTTTTATTGATTATTATTAATTTTCAATTATTATTATTAACTTTTGAATAAAATCGAATATATTTGATGTAGCAACTATACCAACACCTCATTTTTTTTAAATACAAATTGAAATTTATTATTCTAGGTGATTTGGGCGACAGGGAAGCTCAAAGCAGTGCTGCAGCTAGAGCTTCAGTGTTACTTGCACAGTAAATATATATTTTTATGCTATTTTTTGTCTGTAATTATTTTTAGTATATACTCTAAATCCAGCAAAAAACATCTTAAATGTATGCTATATTTAACATATGTTTTTTTAATCCCATTATATTAGTGCATATTAAATACTGCTTGTTAAAATTGTCTTACCAATTTGTGTCATGTTTAATTCAGTGTTTTTTTTAATTGTATTTTATTAGTGTCTATTAAGTTTTACTTATTATTTATTTCTATCAGAACTCCCACAAAAGCTCCACCTCGAATGAGTTTGCAACAACGTCTATCGATAGCAACTGGAGAAGCTCAAGCTCCTCAAGATCAGACTAGAAATCTATTGGAAGAGCTTCTGGAAGAGCCACAATCTGAGGTAATAATACTAGCCCAGGTCAATTTAATGTTTTATGAATTTATGCATATACTTGTTTTAACAAATATCTTCTAAACAAGTTGGCATATCATATACAGAATACTTTGGTTTTAGTTGGAAGTTTTAATCAATTTTGCAGAGAGTTTGAGAATTCAAATTTTGTTTTATTTCTATAATGGTGTACCCATGTTAAAAATATATTTTAAGAATGTGATTGTTAATTTCATCCCCAGACTGAATCTGAGGAGTCAGTATTTGGAGACTTGATTCCTCGTGAGATAGTTGTCAATAGTGAGCCTCGAGAAAAATTTACTAGAACTGGATATTGGACCACCAAGTACATACACGATTCCAAGTTTAATGAAGAAAAACAAACCATAACATTTCGCACAAGTAAACTAGGTATTTTGAATTGAGATGTATCAAAAAATATAAAAAAATGATATCAAAAATCGATGTGTTAACATATTTTCTGTTGCTAAGGTATTAATCTTTTGTTGTGTTATTTTAGGTATTTTTGGCTTAGCGGCTTTGCGGTTTACAAATCTCCCTTATCAAAATTGGGAAATGAAGCCTGGAGCTGACGGGTATGTGATAAAATTTATATTTAGATTTATTTTTGCCTACATTGATTGTTATTGATTTATTAATCGGATTTGTAAAACTAGCACATAATTGGTAAATAGATTTATATTATAATTTTAATTAACTGTATTGTATTAGTTGTTGAATTTTATATATCAATCTATGTCGATATAGATATGTGATCGTTTTCATAATTCGGATCTAAGATGTTTATTTTAATTGGACAATGTTAATACTTAAGTAGACATTTTAATAGGCTTTTAATATTTAATTATAATAGATTTAATTTAATTGTCTTCTTTGGGAGAACTTTTGTAATAATATTTGTTTAATATTAATCCTCAACTATTATATATAATTTTAATTCTATAATGTTTGTTATAATATTTAATTATTTTACTTTCTAGAAATGGTATATTTTTTTCACTAAACGCTTCAATTGTTAGTATTGATTTCTCTATAAAATCAGAAGGTGTGGCTTTATTAGAAGTTCGGGTGAGTATTATAAAATATTTTATAATTATTATAAAGTATTTTATAATAAATATACTAATATATATATATATATATATATATATATATATATTTAATTATCATTTTAGAATGCTCCTAGTGATTATCTTAATCAATATTACGGACAAGTATATTCATTGCAGAAATTAAAAAAGGCAAGTTAAAAATATATGATTAATATAATTTTATAAGTATATTTGTTTTTATAATTTTTTTTTTTTATTTTTCTTTTATTTCTACAGATTATGAGAGATGCTTGTGTTGACGTTTTTCCTGAACATGATTCGTATGCCTATGTAGAAGGTATGGTATTGTATCAACTGTGACTGTTTACTTATATTGAAATGTTATTGAAATCTAAAAGATTTTTTTTCTACTTTTTTAACAACATTAGATAACTGTTGTAAGCATCGTCCAATGGAACGTCATCTCTATCATAATATGGCTTCACTTGGATTGTCCCACAATTTTAAATGGAGCAGGTGGAACCAGGGTGCTGGAAGGCGTCGTGCCGTTCTTTTAGTTAGGGAAGTTCTAGGAAAAAAGCATCTGGTAAAGTTTTTAATGAACCTATGTTGTATTTTAAATACTTATGCAAAATTAGAAAAATTCTCTTACATTTCACTTCGAGCAATATTTCTCATTTTTAAATAACTGCATATAACAATTTTATGTCTAGCGTAGCAAGAAGTCAAGCATGTTATTATAAATTCATGTGCTAGTTTCAAATAAATGATCATCAGTAAAAACAATTTGAAATTTGAAATACAAGATGGTTTCAATATTATCAAAAGTTCCAGAATTTACATTAGACCAAACATGTCTGATCTGGACATTAAGATTTTTTTTGCCATTTATTTCAAACAAATCAATAGAATTTTTTCTTTTAGCCTGGATTTAGTACCCTGCTGATAACCCCCTTGAACGCTACTGTGGTAGATTGTGATGAAGGTTCACAAGAATTTATTGCCACACCACATTCTAAATCAGAAGGGGTAAGTTAATTGAAAGAAATTTTCCTTAACAATTAATTTAGTAAAACAAATGTACTGAGTTGTATTCAAATTTAAGGACAGTTTAGAGAAAGCGAACAAAGTCGTAGACAAGTCCAGTACAATTAAGATGATACAATTAAGATTCATGCTATATGCTTGAATGAATTCAATTATCTATAATTGAACAATGTTTTCAAAGTTTAGTCTTTTGAGAAAATTAATTTCATAGCGCCTAGACAAACGTTTTTTGCTATTATTTTGCATTAATACAGAATAATATAAATGATTATAGTTTTATCCGGACTTACACCAACTTGCAATTGGAGTGATCGCCTCTCCTTCGTCGAGGAAAAAAAGTCAAGAAACGCCACCTCAACTTATACATCATTTGGCAGAATTTCTTAAAGACGTCAGCGTTATGAGTTACTGTTAAGAGCAGTATTTATAAATTTAATTTTGTAATTATTTATTAGATCGATATGTTGCAGTAATTTCTAAATAAAGTTTTATCTTTTTACAAATTTAATTATATAATAAATTAGAGTCTAAGGTCTAGGCCACCAATCATTTGCTTTAATTAAATAAATTGACTAACAATAAGAGAACTAATACTAATCTAAATTATAACATTAAAATTAAAATTTCATAAGAATGACTAGAAAAAAATATTGTGCGTTTTTAAGTGTCGCATTACATTCTCATAGATAAAACAAATAACTATACTAAGGCTACATCAGACTTTATGAAATTCGACATAAATTGAGTTGAAATAGGTAATTCAAATTAGCATTAGACTCATTTGTGACAATATTCGACTGCATTTTTTTGTTTATGGTAAACGCCAAAAACAAAACAAAATAGAATCACATATGTAACATCTTAAAAATGGCATATAACTTAAATTCAAAATTTTAGTATGCCTTAAAAATATATTGTGTATTAGTTCTTGTTACGACAAAAAGCATAAGTAAGTTTTTTCAAATTTTCATTTTTGAACGTCCTCACAGAACTTTCCATAAATTACATTTCTTAGGCAAAATGGTAGCGAAAGTAGGGCAAAATTGGTTGCCTGTTGGCACGTGTACTCATGATGTTATAGACGTTATATTAGCTCGAGAAATTCCAAGTGTATATACGGTGCTTCCATGTCTCGTATTTGCAGTAACCAACGCTATTTTATTAAGGTGAGATAAAATTATTTTGTATTAAATTCATTCTGCTTAGAATTTACAAGAGTCAGTAATGAGATAAGTTTGAACACTGCAAAATAGTTTAACATTATAAATGTTGCCGATAATCCAAATGACTTGTTATATCTATAGTCTAACTATTTATAATTTTTTGTAGTTTTGTAATTTTTTTTATATTTTGTAATTACTTATATAATTTCATTGCTTTCAGGTTATTAACATACCATGTGTTCAACATATCACCACTACGACGGATGTCCTGGTCCAAGATAGCTCAGCAGGTTTGTCATAAAACTGGACTTATTTTTACTCTACAATGTTCCTATTGACTGATTCAACTCATAACTATTTTATAAATAATGTTTTATTTTTTAGCAGATCATATACACAGTTTGCCTTTTCTCAGCAACAATTCTATATGATAATGTTTTGCATGGTTTGGATTATGCGATTGAATTATATTATACGAAGGTAAACTTTAACTAAATTATCAAAATAAATAAAAATAATTTTTATGATAAGTTGCAAATAATTGTAAGAAAAAACTGCAAAAAATTTCCCATGTGGGTAGTTTATCGACTTCAAGAATTGAGATTTGGGGAATATAAATATTTGGACAATAATTGTTTTAAAAAAAAATAATTGTAAGGCCCCCGGATACATTAAATAATATTTTTTTTAACAAAAATTATTATGAATATAAAATTGTTAATTAACTTATAACCTTTATATCTATAATGAACCATAAACATCATAGAAAGTTCTTTAAAAATTTTAAGCCAGTTCAGCTATTTTAGACAAAACTTAGGACAAGTCAAATTTTGACCCATCATCGAACACATACATACTTTTTCCAATTATCGTCTCAAATTCAAGGTCTTAAGAGAAAACTTTAAATTAGCAAGTCGGATTTTCTGTAATTAATTATGAGATAATTCAAACTAAATGCATCTTTAGGATCAAGAGCAGTTAGTCGAAGTTCTTAAAAATCAACGAAGTCGTTGTTCTTAAAAATCAACTATTCACCACATTTCTATTTTTTGCAGTTATGTGCATATTATCCAGCGCCCTGGTACTATTACATCGTGTTCCCGGCCTGTGCTGATCTATCCCATTTACCAAATATTTTGAGATTTTTCTTGAAGCCTTTTACTGTCTACATAACTATCCAATGGCTCGTAGCTCTCATTCCGTCGATGATTTTGTACTGTTTTTTGACTTCGAGAGCCTTAGCAGCCGATAATGGACCAGGAGAATTTATGATATGGTAAATAATATGATGAATCACTAATAAAATAATAATTTGAAATAATATAGTTATTTGCATTTAGTCATTGCCATTTGCATTTTAGAGACTATATTCTCATTCAATATTATTTATTTAATTATTTTTTAAATAGGGATCGCGCTCATCTTTGGGGTCGATCGGAATTAGGCAGAGCAGGTGCCTATTTTTTGGGAAGACCTGTGCCACATCATCCCTTGTTGCGAGATAGTACAAATAACCGAAGCAGGTGAACATAGATTTTATTGTCTATTAGAAAAAATTATTGCTATTTTTTAATTTATTAAAAAATATGTTCATACGTATTGAGATGTATCAGTAGAGATGTAGTAGTTTAGTGAAAGAGATCATACACTCAGCCTAGTGTAAGAGACCACAGTAATTATTTTTACAAATTGTTTTTATAGTTGAGTTTCTAATTTATTTAATAATTGACAATTTAATAAGTGCACATAAACAGGAATATGAAAATATATAGATAAAAAAATTTTTTTTATACATAAAATAAAATTAATTTAGTTCGTCTTTATACAATGTACGTCTAATTGTTCTTCTGTTAGATTCATGATCATATACAAAATTTTCACGATAGCTAGGACGAATAAATATCACTCATTTTGTAATATTAAATGATAATAGTATTATTTTAAATTTATAGTTATGAATATAAAATTAATATACTAATTTTTCATTTTTATAGTGAGAGAAAAATTTTGAAAACTAAATCATTGGCGCAGACGTCTGATGCTGATCGGACATTCGTACGATCCAAGTCCTTATGAATTCGTACCAATAATTTAAAAAACATAACTCTGCATTATGAAACAAGAGTTTAAGAGCCTTCTAAATGATAACAAGAGTTTCAGATCAACAATCAAATATATTTAAATCATTCTTATTAAACTACTGAGACATTTCACATACATGTAAAAAATGAGTAATATGAAAACTATCAAAATATTTTTCATTTTCATACCTGACAATCAATCTGTATACAAAATGTCAGTAAGTAACTATATTACAAATAAATGCATTTTAATATGTAAAGAGTATCCATCTCAAATGAAAATATAAATAATTAAGGTTCTACATTTCTTATTTTTTCATTACTTAATACATCCTCGTCAGAAGCTCTCAATAAGCTATGCACTTCTTCTGGATCCATCTCTTTCAATTCGCATACAAACACCTAATAAATAATAAATCATCTATCAATTATAACATTATTTATTTAAAGTAGAGCATTAAATTTTATAATTTAAATTAATGTATTTATTATTACCTGTGCAAAACATTTTAAAAATGTTGGTGTCACCTCATCAACAGTGATAGGATGATCCAGTTGCCTAGTTAGGGATGTGACGCCCTTTCCAGGCAAACCGCAAGGAACTATGTGTGAAAACCAATTTAAATCAGAATCACAATTTAGGGCCAATCCATGAGATGTTTTGTAACTGAAAGCATAAATTCATAAACAAAAATAATAATAGATATTGGTTGCTCCAAATATAAACATAATAAAATAAATTCGACATAACTTTTTGAACATGTTTGATAAATTTAATTATAACTTACCGACTGGCATGTACGCCAATTGCACAAATTTTATCATTTCCACACCAGACTCCTGTATCTTTGCATCGTTCGGCTTTGACTCCATATATCAAACACATTTTGATTACTACTTCCTCCAAACTTTGAACATACCATCGTACACTTGGGACAAAATTTCTAAAATATTAACAGAATATTTTGTTTGTTAATTCTTTAATTTATCATTAACTAGCGCAAGATTTGAAATTATCAATTATCAAGCATTCAGTCATATATTTATATTAATACTAGTAGTGTTGGAGCAGTGGCGGATCCAGGGTACGGGTTACGGGGGTCATGCCCCCCCCCCCTGAGCTTGTCTTAAGATTTAGATAGAACACTAATTCAGCAATAAAATCACTTCATAACGATTATATTTATGTATTTTGTTACCAAACATATTCTATAAATTCAATATGTAACTTAGAGTCAAAGTCTCTTAAAATCTAAGGATTTTGTAATCGTATTGCGAATATATGTTTTATACATAATTTAATTGTGACCCCCACTCTAGCGCAAGAACTGGATCCGCCATTGTGCTGGAGTCCAGCACACGGACCTGCCCCAGGGCAATATTTATTTATTTACTAACTTCAGATCTATGATTGGATATGCTATTAATTGGCCAGGGCCGTGAAATGTGACTAGTCCGCCTCTGTTCGTCCTGTGATAATCCGCGCCTAATGCCTTTAATCTTCTTTCTTCATATTCTGGATAAGCATTTGTTCTTATGCCAATGGTATAAACTGGAGGATGCTCTGTTAAGATCAAAGTTCCAACGTGGGAAGCAGCTACAAGACGTTGAAGACGTAAAGATTTGGCATAGCTCATACGACCAGCTCTCAAAATTCGTACCACTCGAGACATTTTTCATTCATTATATCTAAAATCAAATTTAAACAAAAACATTTCATTGCTTTTTTATTGTATCAAAACTGAACTTGAGATCTAATTGAGGAATAGTAGAACTGGAATAAGGAGAGTGACTGTAACTAACTGTTTAAATTTATTTAAGTAGAGGATGGTGGACATGTGCTGAAAAAGATAACCGAAGGCGCTGAAGACTTCTCAATTGGAAGAAGTATATAGACACCAATGATTTCATTTCAATTACAAAATATGTTTGATAAACTGGAATCGTCAAAGTGGAAAGACTATATAGAATGAAGATCAATATGGACAAGTCTTAACAAGCAAGAGAAACTGTTAACATTTTTCTTATGGGGTTATATTTCTTATAAAAGCTAGCAAAAAACACCAGAAAAATTTCGAGATGCAGTCCTGGATGTGAATAGAAAAATACGTAAGAAAAAAATTTAAACCAGGAATGGCCTATTTTGGGACAGTAATTTTGTACATTGAATCTATGGAGTTAACTATATTGCAATATTGTAACTATATTACAATACATACACACACACACACACACACATATATATATATATATATATATATATATATATATATATATATATATATATAGGGTGGTCTTTAATATAATAATAATATGAATAATAATTTAGTTGGAGTGCGGACTTTCTTAAAGTAAGAGCTAAAACTTTCAAAGAATTGTTTTTTATCAATTTGGATCATTTGAGTCCCTTAGCAAGGAAATTCAAAAACATCCATATAAAGGACCACCCTTATATATATGTATATATATAGATATATAAAAACATATACTTAGTTATATCAAAGTATATAAGTATATATACATATTATTATATATCAAGGATTTTAATTCAAATTATATATATATATATATATATATATATATTATATATATGGTGGTCTTTAATATAATAATAATATAAAAAAACTTTAGTTGGAGTGCGGACTTTCCTAAAGTAAAAATTAAGAGCTAAAACTTTCAAAGAAATGTTTTTTATCAATTTGGAGCATTTGAGTTCCTTAGCAAGGAAATTCAAAAACATCCATATAAAGGACCACCATTTTATATATATAAACACATACTTAGTTATATCAAAGTATATAAGTATATACATATTATTATATATATTTTATTTAAATATATATATATATATATATATATATATATATATATTTAAACACATACTTAGTTATATCAAAATATATATGTATATACATATTATTATATATATTAAAGATTTTAATTCAAATTCCCATTCATATTTAAACATATTTTTTTCATTCACTTCAGTAAATATTTTTCAAATTCTATTCATAAACCAGAACTGAAAATTAATTCATCTATAGGATACGACTCTGATTTGTTTAAAGTATTATTCATTGAAATACATAATATCTTTCATGGTTTATAAAATGCCAGTTAAACTTATATTTTATATGATATTTGGAATCAGAACCGTGCGTATAAAAAACGATTACTTAAAATACTATTATTTCATATTTATTTAAGTTTTATATAACAGCTTTTTGAGGTCTCAATAAATATTTGTTTAAATACGTTATTGTGTTTATCGTGTCAATGAAAATAATGAAGTCTATCTCCAAATCAACCATGAACAAGATTTATTATTTTCTGGTCTAAATAAATAAATTATTTTGCTTTATTCAGTATTTAAGCGTGAAGCGTTTTGTGCCGTTTAATATTATGCTCTTCTTTAAAAAAATGATTGAGAAACTCTGGTTGCAAACTCGTGGCAATGAAAAGATTGAGATATACTCATTTAATTTTAACTAGCCTATGGCTATTTAATTCTATTCCAATGTGACTTTTGACATTTAGGGACGTAACATTTAAAATAAAATTTGAAGCCGACACTAATGTTATTTCACTTTTGAATAACTAATTAAATCACAGACAAAGCTTGTATCACTATTACTGAACCTCAATATCCCTTTTTATTTGACAGAAACATAGGTATTAGCATGAAAAGTGTGGTTATGGTGATCGACATTATTTTAAATAAATTAAAATTAATTTATGATGGTATAATTTATTAATATATACTTACGTAAAAACATCACTAACCTAAATTTATTTTTAAATGATACCACTAAGATAAATAAATTACGCAACAAAAGTCTACAGCTCTCACAGAATACATGAAGACATTTGCTTATCAACCATTCATTCAGTCAATACATACAAGAACAAAATACATGCAATAGTTCGTTTCATGTTTGATTTAATATAACTTTATTATCAAAATATACCATTTATAAAAATATATATAAATAATTTAATATAAAATAATTTTCTAATAAATATGTACATTAAATACATTATCTAATTGTAAATCAAGCTATTATCAATAGCCAGGCATATTATTATGATCATGATTTATAGTAGAATACCTACTTAATAATTTGTATAAAATATATTATATGAAATCTGCATAAGTTTTCTCACAATTATGTGTCAATTTTTCAATTATTTAATGTTATAAATACTATAGTGGATTAATAGGTATATATAATATTTATACAATATTATTTATTATTAGTTTTCTTATCAAGCTACCACTACCATTTAGTTCATTGGTTCATCTTGCTTATTTCATTATATGTACAAGTAAAGTAATAGCAATGAACTCTTCATGCCGAAGACAAACACTAGCGAATAACATGTAATAACACTGATGCGTTTTTAGATGATACTCGTTTTAATAATTTATCTCCAAGTTCTTTTGATACTTCATGCCATATACATTTTCCTATTATTGGAACTTCTTCCAAAGGAGATCTGAATGTCACCAAAAGTGTCATACAAAAGCCATCATTTTTTGAATCAAATGGATTGTGCTCCACAGATATTAATCCATGAGGTCTGTGTTGCGGTAATTCAGCACCAAAAATTTCAACCATGAAGCGTCTCAGTGTTGAATGGACATTCCTTGCTGGATGTATTTCTGTTGTTGGAAAATGCAACATTGTTTTCTCACTTAATAAAACATTTACGCGATTTGTAGCTCGTTTTTTAATTATAATCACTAATCTCAATAGATTTTATTATGTTCCAGTTTGCTTGGCAATGTATCTGTGTGCCAAAACACATTTTTCAATAACTTGGCTTCATGATAGGCACGACCCCTATCTATTAGATGCATAATATCTTTACTTCGTAATGATAGTTCGTCAATATTTAAAATCCATTTTGCTTGCAATGACTCTTGATCTGCTTTTGCGGGAACCTTTAGTTCCCCACCTGTTACTTTGCCTGTGAAAGCAAATCGAAACCAAGAACCTCCGGCACACTCAATTGTTATAAGTGTTTTAACATCACAATGCATTCCTGTTTCTTCTAAAGTTTCCCTGACTGCTGCTTCGATAATCAGTTCACCCTTTTCCATTCTGCCTGCTGGCAGATACCATTTACCAGCACATGATTGCTTTGCCTCCTGCATCATTAGGACTTCATTTTTATCATTCACTAAAACACATGCCACAATGTATGTGACAGTGTCACCTAACTTTGGTACGTAGTCCGAGGGCGCACTAGGAGCCACTCCTTGAGCCTCAGCAGCTGCGTTTTGCTCCGCTAAAGTAAAGTCGCAACACTTAGCAATTTCTGGATCAATTGCTTGACCATCTAACATGTGATTTAAAGAATTTTCCATTTTGTCAGTCACAATAAACAAAAAACTTAATTCAGAATGAAACACAATAACCTACGGTGTGGTAACACTTGTTTAATAATGTGAAACGATAATGTCATATGCCATAATAACGGTGACTACATTCTTGAAATACCGCATTCCTATGTAATTTTTTCTGTTGCTTTCTATGAGTGTACTATCAATGGTATGTATCGTGGATCAAGCATAATTTTGCGATATTATTTGATTCATATTGATATTAATTTCGTACATCAGTATGAATTTGACAGACAATTTTGACAGTTAGCTTCCATTTCCATAACAAAACATTTATTAGGTATTTATACCATAGCCAAGAAATCCTTTCTTATTTCTTATAACGCAGAACGCAGTTCGAATTTCATAGAAAAGTGAATGTTTATTGTAAGATATATGAATTGATAGAAGGAGATAAAGAAAATAACATTGTTCCTATAACATTAAATCTTTTACATAAATAATACATAAGTTCTTTCACAATTTCAACTAGAAAATGTTAGAGCTTTACAGTACTCATCATTATACTAAATTATATATATTACTGGATTTGTTTATATATATTAATGGATTTGGATTCACGGTTTTAACTTGATATCAGTCCATGGTTTTAATTTGATATTTTCTAATTGAGTAAAATTCAATAAATTAAAGTTTAAATATATAGAAAATTAATTCAGTTAAATTTTATTCAATCCTGTCTTACTGTTACAACATAGATGTATTTAGGTGTATTTTAAATTCTATCAGTATTTTAATATTAAATTGATAAAATGTTTTTGCATCTTTTTATTCACTAATAATAATTACTATACAATTGCAATCAAAATTTAAAAGCAAATTAAGCAATATTTTGATAATATCTTTCCAATTTTTGCTATTGGTCATGATAAAAACATAATTATTGATCATGGTCATCTTTAAAAACAAAGAATATTAAGCGAATTTAGTAATTTTTAGTTTTGAAATTTGAATTTCGCGCTTTCGACATTGTCACATTCGTTCAGTTCTTCATGGCGCATCCTCTTTGATGGCGGCCATTTTTATAGTGAATTTGACCCAAATTTGACAGACGCGTGCAAATTAATTAATTTTTGTTTTTAATTAATTTCGTCGTTAGTTATCATTAATTGATTCATTATATTGTTCTACTAATTATGCATATCAATTTGAGATAAAACTCGTTTGTGATGATATGTTTTTAGAGCAGATATGTGACGATGTTCTTCAGCCTTAACTTATCTCTTTCAACATTTTTAATACTTATTATTTTTATAATCAAATACTTTATTTACAGCTTCCGATGTATCCTTTATATTATTATCATTTATGTTATATGCATATCAATTTGAGATAAAACTCGTTTGTGATGATATGTTTTTAGTGCAGATATGTGACGATGTTCTTCAGCCTTAAATTATCTCTTTCAACATTTTTAATACTTATTTTTTTTATATTCAAATACTTTATTTACAGCTTCCGATGTATCCTTTATATTTATATTGCAATTGTCAAATATGTATAGATGTGTGTATTTGAGATTCGGAAGGCTGCAAGTACTTCTGTAATGTATCTGTCAAATTTTAGGTCGCCAATTCATTCACAAAATTCTCTAATATGTTCGTTTCTTTTCGTCGTGTCGTGTGTTGAGTCACGAAGACTCCACTTGGACATTTGCAAATTATAAATTAAGTGTATAAAGACACTGATCAAAGTAGTGTGGTGTAGTGGTTCACAAATGTTCAGCTTTGGGGCTTCCAGCAGATGCTTCAGAGGATTTATTTTGAGGAGGAGATTTGGAATTAATTCTCGTCAATGTGAGTCCAAGCAAACTTTATACACAACATGTCAATGAATACTTTTCTGAAATCATAAACAGGAATTCGTTGTACAACAAATAATGCACTGATAATGTTCTAAAACATATAACAAATAATTTCTTGTATTTGTAATTAAAACAGCCTGTATGTATTTCAGTGAATATTTGATGATATGTGCATCATTAATACTTTTTGCATATGTATCTGCTAAATGTTTATTTATTTATTTAAAACAATTGTATAGATATATTATTGATACCTACGCTCATGCCTAAAGCTTTAAAAATTTATTTCTTTTTTCTATTTCTATTTATATTACAGTTTATATATTAGTAAATTAATTTAATAAAGGTTTATATTTGGCTTGATATTATGCTTAACTATATTTTATAATTGTATTTGCACATCTAAAAACAAATAAAATACAGTTTACTCTTTATTTATCTCAATTACTCCTTTAGCAGACATATATGCAAAAATGTTGAATATCACTTGCAGGTTTGTGATATCTATTTGATATTAGACGCACTTTGTTTAATTGTTAAATTTGCAAGTGATATTCTATAAGCATAAAAATGATCTTATACAATTCACTATGGAGAAAACATATCGATTCATTTTTGTTTTTATTCTAGCAAGTGGTATTTATACATTTTTTAAATTAATATAATACAATAGTTTTTACTTCTCATATATATCGATTGACATTAATTTATCTTCCTTATTCTTGCATAAATAATAAATTGAAAGGAAATGTTTCTTTGAGTTCTTCTTGTAAAAGTCACATGACTTGATTTCGTTTCATTTATTTGTTGAGCCACTTTTCGAGTGCTGAGATATATTGTTGGTAATTTGCTACTCTAATGACAACTCTATCTTCAACGAATGTTTAGTCTGAATATCATTCGTGTATGGGATATACAGAAGGGGCCCTGGCATCCCTCCTTGTACAATTCCTAAATTAATGGTATTTCAGGTAGAACTCTAGTTCTGAAGAATCTGTCTATCAGATAACATTTCAACAACAAATATATTTCACATGGCAAAGATTTTTATTATTCTATAAAGAAAATTCTATAAATTTCTTTTATTATTTTTAAATTTACAAAAAAAAAATATTTGACAAGGCTTTATGTTATTCTGTGGTAAGGAATTTTAGAATTACAGTTCTAGTACCAAGAATCAGGCGTTTTCTCTGTAGTGATATTGACTGCATGTTCATGACAACACGATTGATGGCTTTGATCAAAATATTCAAGACTCAATTATGACTTTCCTAATAGTTATTGATTAAATGAAACTTTTAAAGACTTTCATTGTAATTTTGTTTCAAAATTATTTAATTATATTGCTACATTGCTAAATATAGATTTTTATTCTTTTATTTCTAAAGTCAATTTTGATCAAGACATGCAATCGGTGATGGTTCGATTAATTAATATGTTGAGAATTGAATTAAGAATTGCTCAACATGATTATTTGTCTCGCCATATATAATTAGACTTTACTCAATACTGCATTAACTCAATAGATTTTTATATAAGTACAATTTATTCTATAATTGCTTTGGCTACTTTTTTAAAATATATTTTTTTGATATTTATAATTTTGTTCTGTCAAAGAGATTTTATTATTTGAGTTGATGTGGCTTGATTAAAGTTTTAAAGAGTTGATTTGAATAAAACAAAATTTAATTTTAATCACAAGTACATTATTTCATTCATTATTTAAAGTCTTTGTTTTTATTTGAATTCTAAAAAAATTTAAAATAAATAAATATGTATATAAATAATTTTTAAAGTTTTCAGTCTATAATTCTTTAGCTTTTATTTTTAAAGTTTTGTTGAATTCAAATCAACTAAAATTGTTTTTGTCTTGAATAATTGTAAAGGTTTCACATGTTCAACAGTTTTGATTCGATTAAGATAATTTCTTGGATTTGATTAACATCATTCTGTTAATTAAATAATTCTTTCGAATAATTATTTTAAAGTCAAAATTTTCTGAAACTTCTTCGATTTTATTAACATCAATCCAACTTTTAATTAAATAATCCTTTCGATTAATTTTATCAATGCAATATTTACTGAAACCTTTTCGATTATGAAAGACGAGTTATGTATGCATGCTGTATTATCCCAAAGCCAACATTCGAATGAATGAGGCTCACATTGAATATTTCACAACGAGAAAATTTTTATTGGGGCAAAGTTAAAAATTTTAACTAAGTCCCAGTAATTTTTTCTCGTTGTGAAAATTTCAAAGTGGACTTCATTTCATTCGAGTGTTGGCTTTGGGAATTGGTGTGGGGGAACACTAAAAAACATAAAAAAGTTTCAACGCTGAACAGAAAAGAGAAAAATTCATCTGGGACTTAGGGGGGTTTTTTTTTAGGTCCTCCACCTCCCCTTCTCCCTCCTCCTCCTCCTTTTTCCCTTTTTTTTCCTTTTTTTTCGTTTTTTTTCACATTTTTCTTCATTTTTTGGTGTTGTTTTCTTTGCATGTTGTCGTTTTTGGGTAGATTTTCGGGTTTGGCATGGATCTTGCGCAATGTGTCCCTCTGCGTGTGACCTGTCGCATCATGAACCTCAGGTTGACCATCACTTTGTGTGTTCGTTTCAGGACCCACCGCGCCTGCCAACAGCCAGTCACCAGCACTGCTCCATTTTTTCTGCTTAAAGAGTTGGTCGTCGTTGCCTTGAGTTGGACTCGATCCGTCTCACCTTGTGCCTCCAGAGCGATTTCACCGAGTATGCGGTCACTTAAACCACTCGGCTATTTGAGTTATTGATGATAATAGTTATTTTTATTCTCATATTGTATTAATATTGAATTTAAATAAAGAATATGTATCATACACATCTCTCTTATTCATCATCTGCCTCTACCCCTCTCTTTCCCCAGTTATTTCCACTACCTTCGTCATCTCTCTCTCTCTTTATATATATCTATCTCTCTTACAGTCAAGTGCGAAGCTTGAGTTTTTCAGAAATATTCTAAGTGTCAAGGTCGAAATGCGCCACCTGAATTTAATATTTTGAACTAATACACTCTCTCTTACAGTCAAGTGTGGAACTTGAGTTTTTTGTTTTTCAGAAATATACTAAGTGTCAAGGTCGAAATGCGACACCTGAATTTAATATTTTGAACTAATATTTGATATTTATGAAAAACTATACATTTGATTTTTCAAGGCCTTTCGGGAATCGAACCAAGACGCGCTGAGCAACCGTAGTGGCAACTTAACGATCTCGGCCAATTAGTCATACAGAACTCTCTGCTATTTGTAAAAATATAGTCTTATTTTGATAATGAAAGATATAAGTTTCCTGAAAACATGTAATTTCTTGTGAGCATATGGCCGAGGTCGTAAAGATACGGTCTGGGCCAGAATAGCGATTCGAGGTTCGTTAGATCGAATCCTTGATTTATCTGAAAAAAATATGAAATCAATAATTTTTCTTACTGTGTAAATGAATAAGATATATAGATAAATAATTAAATTTATTGAGTGTCAGTATTACAAAAATCGACATAATATATATATATATATGCATATATTTAAATATAAATGTATGTGTATGTGTATGTGTATGTGTATGTGTATGTATATATATATATATATATATAGATAAGAAATAGTAGAATAATTTTTAATAAATTCATATTTACGCCTAGCAGTAAACCAAACCTACTTTGGTGTAATTTAGAATTTAAAACTTTTACTAATTTTTCCCATACAAACCGGTTTTTCAGGGGCAGCCAAAATTGGCCAAAATCGTGACTTTCAAATGCAATTTTAAGGCCCTTAATGAATGAAATTAATAATTTTAATGAATGCATTATGTAGACTAAAGTACAATCTTTATACCAAAGCAAAAAAATTATAAATTTATCATCGTCTTCATAGTTAAAATCATCTTCAAAGTTGGCAATTTTTCAAACTTCAAATTGGTAACAGGGGCAGAATTTTTTTTTCTTCCAAAAACTGATTGCATATTCGGAATCAGCGCCTCGAAAACTATCAGAATCGGCCAAAACATTTTAAAAATCGCGAAAAAAAATGTTTATTTCATTAGTAAAATTTTGATTTTGCAACCAAAGATTTCCATTTTTTTCTTAGGTATGCAGATTTATCTAAAAACGGATAACATTTTTAAATTCATCGATTCCAAATCTATCAAAACCAATCAAAACATTTTGAAAATCGCGAAAAAACACTCGATTTTTGAAAAAAAAAAGACTTTGCAACCAAAGACTTCGATTTTTCGCGGGGTGTACGTGAATTTATCCAAAAAGGGATAGCATTTTTGAAATCAGCGTTTTAAAATCTTTTGGAATCAGTCCAAACATTTTGAAAAGCGTGAAAAAACATCAATTTTTATGATAAAATTACGATATTGCAAACACAGATTTCGTTGTTTTGCGGTGGTACACCTTCTGAAATCATGATAATTTCGTCCTTTTCTTTAAAAAGACTTTCTCCAATTCGTTGTCTATCAAATTTCCTCTCCTATATGAAAGACCCAGGATTTAAGGCATTTTTCTAAAATATAAGCACATAAGAATAAAAATTTATCCTAAATAATTATCATGAATTATTTACATTTAAAATAAGAGTGTAAGTTTAAATGTATTTAAAAAAAATCCGTCGTTTTAATTTGATTTCATTTTCAAATTGAGTAAAATGAATTTAAAGGAACCATGAATAGTTTTAACTTAATATTTTCAATTTGAGTAAATTGTGTCTTTAAACAAGCGGTCCATGATTTTAACTTGATATTTTCAAATTGAGAAAAATGATTGTCCATGGCTTCAGCTTGGTATTTTATAACATATATTCTATTTGAAAATAAACCCATCTCGGGAACTGCGGTGTAAAATGGAAATAGGAAAAACGCTCACACTACTTCTTCCCTGAATCTAGTTTGAGTTTAAATACCAATTATTCTATTATAAAGTTTAAAATACAACATTTAAAAAACAACAAATTTTTTACACCGTTTAATGGCGTTATAATTCCACATATAAAATTCACAATATCACGTAGTTATAAATTATAATACATTACATTTTAATTTTCGTGCGGCATTTTCCTTTTGCAACACAGCTCGAACTGCCTTTATGAAAACAATATCCACATTTGTATATTCAAGTGCTGAACATTCTACAAAATCACTTGATCGGATCTTTTTGTGCATTGCTTGACCTTCTTCAAATGTCACCAAACCATGGGAGTTAGAATTTCTCAAATCGATTTTAGTTGCTGCAAGAAATACAAGCGTTAATTTAACTGGTGGGAGTTTACATAAAACTGTTTCACCTACCGATTAAGATTATTGGTGCTTTTGGTGAATAATGCCGAATTTCTGGATACCATTTTGAATGCACATGGTCGAAACTATCGCGACTACTAATTGAGTAACACAGCAGGAAACAATCAGTCTGTAATTTTGTAATACTGATTGTCATATCCAGTAGCGGCGCTAGGCGTCGGCGGTGTCGGCGGCCGCCGACGGCCTCGCGCCTGGGGGGGTTTCGCAAGAGGCCCCGGAAAAATTTTAATTATTTAAATTAGTTAATTTTCATACGGATGTGCGAGTAAAGAAGGTGATTAGTGGTTTACAGGCACTATCATTTTACTCTTTTATCTTTTATGGACATTATCTAACATCGTCTGTCAACACTATAGATTATTAAATCTAAATAACTTCGCGCAAGCTAATTCTCTGGTTGTTTATATTTGTGTATTTCTTATGTGAGCACTATGTAAATCATCGTTCTTTTTGGAAATACATACGAGTGGGAATCTTAACGTATCGAAACAGTAATTAAATATTCGAGGAATAAAAGTAATCAATGATCAATAAAAATTGATCAATGAGAAATAACAATGAGATAATAACAAAAACTGTTAATTTGAAACTAATCATTGTTTCACACCGTCAACACAAGCAATATATTTTTTTAAACATTCTATCGGGATGATCAGTAATTTCAAATAAATTGATAACCTTTTAAACTTTTTTTGTATCTCCGAAACCGCTAAATTTGCCTTTGAC